GCGCGCCCCGCCGCCGCCCCCCCCCCCCCCCCCCCCCCCCCCCCCGCCCCCGCCGCGCGCCCCCCGCCCCCGGCCGCCGCCCGGCGCGGCGGGGGTAGGGTACTGAGATTATGAAATGGTTGCTTGATTGATCGATCCAACGGAGCATTGGCAGCTGGTCTGGCTCGGTTGACATTTCCCTGCGAAGGAGGGCGAGTCCATGCTCACCATACGATCTACGTGCTACGGCAATCATCTAGATTTGCCGGCTCCACATCGGGCGGCTTCCTTCGCAGTTCGCGCCGTCGTGTCTTAGCAGCACGAGCTGAGCGGAAATCTACCAACCAGCAGCCTCGGTTCGCTCGGAAGGCTGTCATGGTGGTCAGACGACTTGCCGGCAGCGCTGTCTAAACCCCTCAAGAACAAGCAAGACCGTACAGATTAAAACCATGGGCGAACTCAAGGAAAGGCGAGTCTGCTGACCTGACCCGGATATCTACCGTTGGCTAGCGCTCCAGGCTACGGCAGATCCTATTATCTTCAGTGGGTCCGACATACCGAGCGACGGTGACCGACGAAGGTGAGCAAAAGACTACCTACTATGTAGGCAGCTACCTACCTGGTAGATACGTACTGCACGGGTCGACTTCTGCAGTGACGATCATTCAAGATATTGGGTGTGATAGCGTTGTTCGTCCGAAGTAGTAGTGGGGCGAACGATGAATGGGCGAACCTGACTTTATTCCAGTTGGCCTGGACCTTTACGAATGCGAAAAGGGAACTAAAGAGAAAAGAGCAAGTAAGAAAAAAAACAAGTCGTCGAGATACGCACAAACCCTTTTTACTATGTAGGGCCTATGTACGCAGACCATGTACTGCAACTTCTTGGCGTAGGGTATCGCTGAGCTGCCTAGCTAGCTATAGCTGGATAGATTAGGTTAGGTATTCCGTAGATACAGCCAGAACGAGCAAAGCAAGCATGACCTCCCCTCCAAAGTCCTTGATTTTTCTTGCTTTGTTCTTCTCCACTTACCGCTCTATATCCTACCCTTGTCTCCCGTACCTTGTTAGGCCAGGGTAGGTACGTATCAGCTTGTCGAGGGACCCTCAGATACGATCTACTTCTTATTACGTACCTAATGAGACCCATCCATTCTTTAAAGATTTGAGTATATGTTGGATAGGTTAGGTACCTAGGTATGTAAGTAGAATCTTGTGGCGGGCTGGGGACTGGTGCTGACAAGAGTTCGTTCTTCCTCCCTGTTTAGGAAATGCGCGGGGGGGTGGGGGTTCTAGGAAGGACAGGCAGAAGAAGGAGGAGAGAGACGAGGGTGAAAAGATTTTTTTTGGAGAAAAAGCGAGCTAGCTTATACGAATGAGTATAATTGAACGATATCCTATAGGGACGAGCATGGCCCCGGGAGGAGGGGGGTTTGCACATCCATGGATAACTAAAGTAGGCTATGAAATCGTGTCGATGGGCCTGGCATCTAGGCCTTACGTTGTACATGCTAGGTAAACTAGTAGATAGAGAGGTCCCAAGAGGCTCCCTCTGAAATCTACCTGCAAGATAATGTGGCTGTGCCTCGCGCCCTCCATTACGGAATGATATTTACTAACGATGGAGGGAGGGAGGAAAGATTAGAGGTGTGGGTGGGAATGTTCCTTCCCGTCCGGTTCGATGAACAGCAGCAGTGATGATGGTGGTGGCGATGGGTGTGTGTGTGTGTGTGTGGCCCATATCTGGTTATACAACAGGTATATTACATAGAGTTCGGTATAATGCGTATGCTAGTGGCCGCCCCAGTTGTGTACGCTCTTGTGTACGCTCTTAGGGGCGTGAGGCGCTATGGCGTGACGTCTGACACCGGGAGATCTGCTTTGCGTGCTGACAGCTGTTCACATGCGCCTACCAGCGTATCTGAGGGTGTGTATGTGTTGAACAAAAAAGAAAGACAGAGGTGGGTGCACGAAATCACGAGACTCAAGTGACGGACTTGTGTGTATGTATGTCTTGGGAAATGCTTTCTCTTCATCTGTATGTATGTCTCTACAAATGTACCGCAACCAAGTCATATGGCTACTTACAACCGTCACCATCACCATCACCACTACTACCACCACCACCGCGGCGCACGCGGAAAAGGCCCAAGTTTCTTTCTCTTCCTCCCCTCCTCCTCCTCCCGCCCCATCTGATTTCAAACCCCCCCCCCCCCCCAAACTTCTCTCTAAACATGAGCCCCCCAAACCAACATTTCTTGATTAAACAGACACAAACCATCCCAATGTTCAAAAAAGCAAAAACAAACACAAAAAAACCGTACAATCCAAACCTCGTTCGTATCCGCCGTAAGATTCCCATAACTCCGGGATATCAACATGCAAGTGTATATAATGTACAGCCGTGATAAAAGGGGGCGGGGCGGGGGGTTAACAAGTAAGCAATAGCGAGTAGAAAAATAGACAGTAAGAAGAGTCAAACAAAAAAGTGGTGTAGAAATATATATCTGAGAAGCGAAGACGCGCGCACCCAACTTGAAGAAGATGATGAAAAAGAAAAAGGTCGTAAACCTCTATGATCCCCATATGTTCCGATTCCATCATATTCCGAGAAAAAAAAGCAGCTTGCTTCCTTTTTTGTTCATAAAGATACCTAAGTATGTATGTAATTTTTTGTACGAGAGAGGTAGGTAGATAGGCAGGGTAGGTAGGTAACACATCCGCATTAAAACATGATCCACTCGACTTCGACCCCGGGGCCGCCGATGCACTTGGTCCAGTTGAAGCAGCCGCGCCTCATGCCGAGCTTGCTCCCGGGGGTCATGGGGGGTTCGTAATATTCGCCGGCCCAGAGGCGCTCGAGGACCTCGATGGCGGCGAGGTTGTTCATGTAGCCGCTGCGGGACATGATCTCGCGGCACTTGTTGCGCACGATGTTCTGCTGCAGCTCGTTGACGCACTCGCTGCCCGCCACGAACAGCGGCCACAGCAGGAACTTCTCCGCGCTGCTGCCGGACTCGAGCGAGGTCGCGTAGTACACGACCTGGCTGACCAGGTTGCGCAAGTTGTTGTCGGTGGAAGACAGGTGGGGCGAAGCCAGGCGTTCGGTGTAGAGGAGAGCGGCGTAGCGGAAGGCCTCGGAGAGAGAGTGGAGGTCGCGTATCTGGGCCTGGGTCGCGGAGTTCGGGAGGGATGCGGCGACGCGCTGGGCGTCGAATTCCCAGCTTTGAAGAGCTATGCGAGTTTCCTTCCACTCGCGCCAGAAAGTCGAGCGGTGCTCGTCGAATTGGGATGAGGGGCAAAATCCCGTGGATAAGATCTCTTCGTCATCCATCTGTGAAACGAGGCTGCTGCCGCCATCGTAGCGATGGTGATTTGTGCTGAAGAAATCCCCAGTTGGTGCGTTGGGTTGCTTGAACGGCTGTCCTAGGGGAGGCGAAGTTGCTGGCGTTCCCACGTGAGCATTAGGCGATGATAGAACACTCTGGACATGGTACTGCTGTGACAGGATGTTCAACCGGCCAAGTTTGCTTAGGGTCTTAAATAACTCCCTGTCGCAGCCGACCAGGTTCTCGACTCCTGGAGGAAGTAAGTTGGCATCTGAAGGAAGGCCGTAGAAGGAATGGTTGAGTTGAGCGTCGCGGTCGTTAATGCTGGCAGAAATTGAGTCGAAATAGGTAAAGATGGCCTCCATCCAAGAAGACTCGCTAGACCCTTGGTAAGGAGCAGAGCCTCGCATACTGAGGATTTTCTTGACGCCGGCAAACTGTGTGTGAAATTTAGCGACGCCAGATTCAACCATGCGGTAGTGACAGAGGAGTAGTATAGTAGCCAAGACGGAATCATGACAAGATTTCATAGGGTCGTTCAACTGCTCGTTTAGGAGGTGAACAGCCAGGTTTCGGTGTTGGTGCTCTTCGTTCAGGGAGTGGTGATCCGATTGCGCCTCGGATAGTCGATCAGAACCGATGCTATCTGATCTGGCACGTTGGCCAAGGCTCAGTCTTCTCTTCATCCTAAGATTGCAGGCGGCTAAAGCACAGATTGCGTGTTGTAGGCTGCGGCTGTTCGATGCTAGCCGCAAGATGTGGTCTCGGAAAGGGTTGTTTGGGCCATCTACAAGCACCATTGACGGGCACATAATATTCTCGTAGTAGTCCATGAAAAACGGCATCTTAGCAATGAGATCGGGGCTGATCTGTATCGGCTGATTCTCGTATGGGAAAGCTAAGTTGGCCGGAGCGGAGGGCATCACATCATCATCCCTTGAAATCGTAGCTGCCCAGTGAGTCCCATCTGCGGAACGCGTGCTGGCACCGTAGGGCTCCATCTCAGGGACGCCTGCGAGGAGTTGTCAGTGAGCCGAGGCGTGGGATTTCGGAACGCGTATTCCTTACTCAAAGTGTCGCTATCCGCGACCAGTCTATGGGCCATCTGCGGCCCATAAGAGTCAGGGTGAGAGCCGAGGCTCGAACTGGGTTCCGATGGAGCATAGACTAGGCCAGGGCACGAGGTTGGCGCTCGTTGGTCGATCATAATCGCGGCGGGACTTTGAGGCATAGGCGAATTTTGGGCCGTATAGTTATCGTACATGAGGCCGGGGCTGTGGACGAAAGGGATCTCCTCTCTGACATATGAGTGTCCCATAGCATACTCGACTTCGCTGAGCGAGTCCACAGATGATGATAGCGAATCGCCCATTATAGGATAGTGGCCCATTGGGGAGCCGAGCTTCTGGAATCTGCGCGGGTCATGCGAGCCCATGTGGCCGGCGTATGCGGGAAGGCCTCCCCAAGCCCCTTGGGTAGTTACTGGTGCTTCTCCATGAGAGAATCTTGGGTAGTCTTGATAAGATCCGTACGGCGCTGTAGGTATAGAGGCAGTATGGTTTCTATCGTCTCGGTGAACTTTGCGTAGTCCCTCTTCCGGGCCGCTCCATTGAGAAGTAGTCGCTGCTGAGCTTGCTGCTCGCGCCCGGCTCGCCGCTTTCTTTCCAACAGGTGCAACTGGGGGTGCCTTCGCTATAGGCAACGAAAGTCCTCGTAGTTTGCCTCGGCTCGCCACACCCACTCCCCAGGTCAGTTGAGTCTTGTAGCCTGAGCATTCATTTCCAATCTCGAGACACTGCGAGCAGTAGGGTCTCCTCCTATCGCACTTGGTATTTCTCCTGATGCAGGTGAAGCAGTCATCTGCAGCTCCTCCGGCTGGGGCCCGTCTCCTCCGCTTGCGGGCAGCCTGGGCGTCCTTGGATGAATTGGACGAGGGGGAAAGTGAGACTGTCATGTTAGATATGCACTATATCGAAAGGGTAATAACAATATGTTTCTAGCAAAGACGCATATGGTAACCCGGGACGGCAGTGGTCTCGACTCTGGGCTGAACGCGGTATGGACTCTCTTGACTATTAAGAAGAGGAAGTTGACTGGCGTGGATAAATAGAAGTTAATATGGAAAAGATGTGATCGTCTGGGCAAGAGGATATTGATATTGCATGAGAAGAGGTAGACGGGGTGGAGCGAATGGGACAACTGATATAAGTTGAGATGCGGTCTCTATATGAACGAGCGCACATATAAAGTACCACTTACAGAGCAGGGTATCTCATCGCGTTGTGCTCCCCACCTTGCTCTAGGGAGGTACTGGGGAGGTACAAGAGATGCAAGACCCTCGTCCTCCATGGTCAGCACCCTTGTCGATTTATGTGCATGTAGCAGTCGCAGAACGGCCAAACCGCAGAAGAGAGCATGGGTGGGCCCGGCTTGGGAATTTGGGGGGCACAGGCAGGTAGAGGGACAACGTTGGAAGAGAGATGACGGGGAATCTGTGAAGTTGACCCTCTCCTACAAAGGTCGAGATAGGTGCGAGATCGAAGAGAGCGAGCGAATGAAAACCTGGAAAGGCGAAGTGGGTCTCCTACTTTCAAGATCAGCGGGATATACCTTCATTGTACTAGCCAGGTTGAGGGACGTTAGGGGAGAACGGCGACAGGGGCAGGGATGAAAAAGTAAACCCCTGTAAGAACCACCCCAGTACATACATGCAAAGACGGGGGTGAAGGAGCATCATTCGCAGCAAGGTACTTTGTGGCTTGTGAGGTTCTTTCAGACTACTGTACTATGTGAGGAACAGGGGTTAACTGCGAGCGGCGAGTCCTAACGACATCAGGCATAGCAGATTTATGGCGAGTCCGGGGGGGGGGGGGGGATGCAGTGAGGGGAGGGAATAGATGAGCTGCTCAGGCATTACAGCTAAGTCGTTTCCCTCCGCCTTACTTGTGATCGTTGATCAAAGCTTTTGGAAGTCTTTCGTAAAGCAGTTACGAAGATAGATAGGTAATCATTATCTAGGATGGTAGCAAAAATGAAATAACGTAGATCATTGGGTACGAAGTAGAGCCGAGTATCGGTTCGGCTAGCGAAGAGCCTTTTTTCTTTTCAACCGGCACGAAAAGAAAAAATGGACAAAGCGAGCAAGGAGGATGACGATGAAAGTGGCTGGACTCTGCAGACCAGTATTGTTGCTTGTGCTACTGATGAATCGCCTGGCTGCTGGGAGGGAACAGACCTCGGTAGGCCAGGCCTGGAGAAGGCCTGTAGGATGTGGGTTATGGGTTATGGGTTACGAGCGGACTTACTTACGACCTACACACATACACACACAAAATGAAAAAAAAGAGTTGCGCGGGATACGATGGGAAACAAACAGGTTAGCACGGAAATGCGCGAATAGCTGTGAGACGCCATCAGTCGATTTTCGGCTCTTGGCTTTGTGGGTAAATTAGCCCTCATTTCTTAAAAGGCAAAGGAATCTTTGCATCCTAATCGTCAATTCTTTTCCTTTTTTCCTGTAAGCTTAAGTTATAATTAGTCCTTTAGTTAGATAGAAAGGGGGTCTTACGCCGCTTCCCACTATATTGGGCATAACAAGATGATACAACTTACGGTAGACTTAACAGCATTAGGTCTAGCTATGTAATCTCAGTCCTTTCAGTAAAATTCCAAAATCATAAGCCTATCGTGCCTGGTCTCAGTGGGGGATACGTTACAGGGCCTACCCGGACACGCCTTAAGATGATGGCGTGCAGTTTCTTCCCTGTGCTAACATTAGAAACCCAGGTTGTTACGGAAGGATTTTCGATCGGAGGTGCCTTGTTACCGTCCCATTTCTTCCCCAAAACGCTCTGATCAAGGAATGGTCCCCCTACGTTTTCCTACCTTTTTCCGTCCCTTGGGTACCTGTCCCTACCTCATAGTAGGAGGTAGGCGTAACCCGTGCGACAAACCCGTGCAACCCGTGCAACTTGCAACTAAGTATGGGCCGTCCTTATCGATTTACTGTATAAGTCTGCCACCCCTGGAGATAAAAGTTGCTTCTGAGGATTCCGGGGCGGGGAGTTTCAGGTGAGCGAGGCAAAGCCACTGCAAAAAAAAAAACATGTGCTAGAGTTAATTCCATATTCCAGGCGAAGGCTCCGATGTTCTATTAGCGGAAGATCCGCCTGCAAGCCCCTCTACTTTTTCTTGCCAGACGTCTAAATCCGTCCGTATCCGTACTATGTAAGACGGCGTTTCCAAATTGTCGCCAGCGTCTAATATTATATCTAATATTATAGCTTGCTTGAGATGTTTTTCTGGGCTTCTTTGTTGCCTTGCTGCTGCGAATGCTTCTAGTGCGTGAGCCATGACCAACAAGCTTTACAGATCTTGGCATGCTCATGGGTTGCTTACTGTATGTAACCCACGGAAACAAGTCAGGTAATGTGACGACTCCAAATTCTCAGTAATTTGAACTACCTATGCGACCTCCAGTCTCAGATGACGATGTTTAGAGGTTTATTACCAAGCGGTTTTTCTTTACCTAATGTTCACATAGTATTTGAACATCTGCCGGGGTCCCCCTCCCTCCCCGATCGCATATTTAACATGCCTTAGCTGCTTAGGCATGTTTACATTGTAGATACACCCAAGTAAGCTTTTAGATTAATCTGCTTGCTCTCGTTATGTTACACGCGTAACGTCAAGTTGCTTCTTGCTTCGCAACCAGCCTGTCTCCATTTCCGATGAAGTAACATATAACTAGGAGCTTGATCTTCCTAGTTGCGGGCACTGCCGAGGCGGGTTGCAAGGCGGGAAACTCGCCCATAATTATAGACCACATAAGGCGGTTATATGGGTTGTTTTACAGTTGGGCAGAATTCAATATGAGTAATAAACGAGCGAACGAACCAAACCTCCTATTACTGTGACAAGTGACCCGCTCGCTTAGAGCCACTACTGCTCAGATTCATGTATTTGATGATGCCAGGATGTGGATTCCTGGACCAACCGGAAAACATTTCTTCGTAAGACACACATAAGAGACACACATAAGATGGTGGAAGATATCATTTAGTAAAGACTGTCTGGCAATTATTCTTAGCTTCTCACCTGACATCTCAAGCAGCAGAGGTGATTGCGTGTGAACATGACTGTGTTATAAACCTGTATTATAAACCTGTATCCTGTTAATTTAAGAGATAGTCCAGGAGAGATTCATATTGGCTGTCAGGGAAGATGGCTTTTATTGAAGTCAGATTCATAGCAATGCTGCAGCGCTTCTTCACATGATAGGTGGCAGGCCACTTTAAACATCATGCGTAAGCTATAGAATTATAATGATAATCCAAGGTGTGTGGTTCATTTTTGTGTAATGCCAGATTACTGGCCGAGGATTAAAAAAAAAAAATTACAGTTATGTGCGGCCCATGCGTGGACTGGAATGACAAGGGACAGGGCAAGCCTCAAAGCGCTAGACTCAAGATCGTACTATGGTACTATATGGAATTGTAGTTTAATGGGTCTGCGATTCTCGTACCACACATAACTATACCATAACCTTGCCATATCGAAGAGGTTCGCCATAGCGGACAATCATCACGAGATATCCTGATTCTCCATTGCCCAGGAATGGCTTGCTCCAATTATATATGTACCTCCCACACAGTCATTCCATCTCGATGTATCTCAAAATGCGGGCACCACTTCACAAAGCAAGAGAAGATGTTAACAAGATCGAGGAACTCGACTACCGATCTAATGTCGTCACGTAATAGGAAACCTGAAGCCAAGAGATTATACCTCCAAGACTATGCTCTCTTTAAAGCAATTCAGCGTCATGTCCTGCCAGTCGGTACACGAGTACGACGGTAGCACTATAGGCGGGAATTCATGGTCTATGCGGTTAGGTAGTTTTCTCAGAGATGGGGAATATTAGCCTTCTTTTAATGTATGCAACTGCGGGTTGTGCTCGGGTTGGTTAGCCTTAACCTCAAGCCATTAGCCCGCCTGGTGTAAGTTGGGAGAGACAGCGTAGTCTAACACGACGCCGAGACTCACGCATGCACCAATTTACACGACGACCTCTCTCTCTCTCTTGTTTCCATCAAGCTTCTATGGTTATCTCAACCCCCCCCCCCCCGCGGTTTTGTTCTTTGCAGCTCCCTCTTTTGGATTGCACCGATTGACCCAGCTCTGTTGCGGTGACTTTCGTATCTATGTACTAGCCAGAACGCACTCGTGCAGACGTCATCAGATAGATGATAATTCCTCTGAGGCGAGGTTTGCTTTACTGTAAGGAATATGCAACATTTAATCACATCCATAAGCAAATCGCGATCGCCGTCGCAGCGCTGCCGTCTTCTGAACCGTTCGAGAAATCGGGAGGGATCGGGCTTGAATGCCATTTGACAAGATTTTTAAGGTTGCCAAAGATTTGAGAGCTAAGGATTGCTTGAGAGGGCTAGGAAGCAGGGATAGAGAGGATCTTCAACATGCTTGGAACAGGTGCCTATTGCTTCTTAAAATCGTATATGGACTGGGCTTGTTTGTTGCCTATCATATCGCGGAGATCAAACAGAGAACGATTACATCGTCAAATATCTAAGAGGTATTCCTTCGAGTTAAGGACCAAAAACCGATATCTGTGGGACCCGAAGAACGCATTTCAGACCATCACGAGCTTACTACTACGTATGGACATGTTTGCGCTAGGTCTACCAACTCCCTGGTATCCGCGTACGCTAACAACTGAGAGGGCCATATTTGCCCCACGGATGATGCCGGTAACAGCACGCTTGGCATAAGATATCAATGACTTTCTTATCAGTTGTGCGGAATAAGCTTTTGACCCTTCTGCACGATGGTCAAAGGCGACCGAATCTATTGCCTCCAGGCACTTAAAGATGTAGATTCCTAGCCTAGCCTAACCTACCTAATATTAAGAGTTATGCATCTAGTTTGGGAAGC